CAATATAGCCAATAATATTATAATAACTGTGTATGGTGCCAGGTGGGTACTAGAAAAATCAGAGGGAACACTTTGTAAAGTATAACATTGTCTAACCACTGTGCTGTACACCTGAAACTATTACAAAATTACATTGAATGTAAAGTGCAATTGAAAAATAAAATTTTTGTGAAGTGCCATTTAAAGCTAACTCTTATTTTAAAAAATCCCATTTGGCCAGGCCCCAGGAGCCAAGCAGGTGCGCTCACTCTCATCCAGCTCCACCATCCAACTCCACTGTGAGGCAGCTCACTCGTGCGGAACTAGCTACCTTTATATACACAACACTCACCTTACACATAGTCACAGAATCCTAGAGTGTTGGTGATGGAAGTGACCTCAGACAACACAAGGCCAACCCCTTGGCACAAATGAGGAAACCTTTGCTCAAGGTCACATTTAAACGGGCAGCAGAGCCAGGGCCAGAGTCTAGGCCTGATTCTGCTCCTGGGATATCCCATCCCTCAGTTTCTCCCAGCATCTCCCCTACACAGATACCACAGTCCACAGGCAGCTCACCTGTACCATCTTGGTGTGGAGACCCTGGCCCATCTCAGTGCCCCCATGGGTCAGCAGCACGGAGCCATCTGTGTACACATGAATCAGGGCTCCTGCCTGAGGGGAGAGAAGAATGCCAGCCACAAAGGTAGTCAATTCTAGTTCAGCTTAAGACTTGAGACAAAAGGTACTGCAGCCCAGGGAAAAGAGAACCAGCAGCAACGTTTTGGATATAAACTCCCGACAAAAATTAAAGCAGTATAAATCTCATGGTTTAATTAGGCAACCCTTCAGCACTTCGCAAAAATTCTTTAGCTCTCTCTCGCTCGCTCTGCCTCCCATCCTCAAAGGGAGGGAGGTTAAATATCTTGTCCTCCCTCTATAAACGAAGAAAGAGGATCAGAAGCCGAGTAACTGTCCATGGTCCTGCAATCAGGAAGGGTGAGAACTAGATTTTGACCCCAGGTCTCTGAGTCTCAGGCTGTCCTGTGGCATACTGTACAAATAAAGGATATGCAAATTCATTTACACAGCAAAGAGCTCCTTAGTCAGCTCTGTTAACAGGAGCAGTTGGCTTTCCCTTGCAAAGAGGGGGAAATAGGGCCCCAGTCACCTGGAAATGGACAGAATTATATAAAGCAATTACCTGATTCAGAAAAGGAGTAAGGAAGGATATTCCAAACTTGGTAGGAATTATGCACAATCCTCTCTTTTTCCAACAATTCTCCCTGGAGAAAAAGGAACATTCTCATAGTATCTTCTCTATCCTATTTTCGTCTGGTTGAACAAGTTTTCTGGCAATAATTTAAAATTGATATTAGGCATCCTCAGAGCTGCCCAAAGAGTCAGGGTGATATCTGCATTGTGTGGACAGAATGGGAAAGGCAGGGATTTGGGTTCTGGGTCCTTCAGTGCAACCAGAGCAGGGCCCGCCCCTGAGCATCTGACTTGAAAGAATCATCACTCTTCTTCCCCAAGTGGAATTCAGATCGGGTCAGACTGTCCTGGTGACCTTGGACTGTGCTCATCCCGGGGAAGGACTGGGGCTCCCTGATGATAATGATAGCACCTCCTCTGTGCTTTAAATTTGGTTTTCCCAATAATTTAGCGAAGAAGACAGAGCCAGCAGAATTACCCGCTTTGTATATGATGAAACTGAGGCCCAAGGAGGTGGGGTGACTGCCACGGTGACATTTATAGGTTAGTGTTATAGGCAGGTGCATAACTGTGGCATTCTCAGTCCTGGGGTGGTGTCTATAGAATGTGGTATGACCAGGAGGCAGACAAAGATGAAAAAATACCACACTGAGGGGTTATGACATCGAATGCAGGCTGAGCCCACCTGCCCCGGGCTAAGATCATTTCACAATCTTAAAGGGATGCCTATGAACAAGTTGGCAAATACAGCAACCTCATAAGTTAGTCATTAAACTATTAGCTTTGTATTCTGAGTTCAGCAAAAAGGCTGTAGAATGGAAAACACCTCCCCTCCCAGCACTTACTTGTTGAACTTGTCAACCTCACTCTTCCGAGCATGAAACTGAGAGCTTGCCAGACATTCATCCCAGCACCTGGGCACGGTGAACCCCTCAAGCTTCTGGTCGAAGTATGTCAGGTCCCCTTCTTTGTACATGTTCTTCCTCCGCACCTTCCCAAGGAAAGAGACACTGTGGCCTTGTTGGTGTGAGATGAGGCAAATCCTACAGCTAAGCTTCCAGCCCCTCTCATCAGCCCCTGCCTGTCCTCTGTCCCCAGGGGAGATACCCAAAACACCAAGTAGGCTAGCCCACTTTGACCTGTGCCACCAAATTCCCAGCTTACTTCCTCAGCAGGCAGCCCACAGGTCACTGCAACTTCACTCATCCAGTGCTCGGCAATGAGCATCCCCTGGGGGCCCCCGAAACCCCGGAAGGCCGTGTTGGAGGACAGGTTGGTCTTGCATAGCCGCCCAATGCCCCGGATGTTGGGGATTTTGTAGCAGTTGTCCATATGGAGTAGAGCTCGCTCCATTACCTAAAGCAGAGGGAGCCAAAATGGGAGAGAACAACTTTTTTAGTTTTTATATTTGCATGGCAAAACGTTTTATTGGACAGCACTGTTACAGACAAATAAAAATGAGCAATCCGGGTCTGCATGTTTCAAAATATATAATCTCAAAAATGTAAGGTTGATAGGAAAAAGGAAGCAAGTTGCAGGAGGACAACTAGAGTATCCTCCCATTTAAATAGGTTGAAAGGATTGGATGATAGTTGCCTTCAGGAAGGGAAGTGTGTGGTGAGAGATGAAGTGGCTGGGGGGCTTCTCATATATGTCCTTTGCATCTTTTAAATTTCAAACCATGCAATTGTATCATCTAGTTAAATATAGTAAGAGAAGTCTCCTGGCCCCCAATCAATTCAAGAAAAAGGCCCAATGTACGTACAGTCTGTTCGGACTTTGGCAAAACCATTTATTGAAATCTTCCCATTAGGTTATCTAAAAAAAAGTAATCCTATGTCTCTTCTCCGTGATATTCTTTATCAGCTATTTAATTAACATCCATATTTCTAAGCATGTGCTTATATTGCCACCCCTAACTTTTCCAGTTGTAGAGTTTTGAGGA